TGTGAAAAAACCCTTTGTTTTGAAGGAGAGGTGGCTTTGGGGGGGGGGGGGCAGTAGTTTGTTCATTTCCCCCATTTATTTTGCTTTTATACCAAAAAAATAAACAAAACAGAGCCTGGGACGCTGGTGACTCCTGCAATTCTAGCTGGTGCTGTGTTAATGTAATGTAAATGATAGTCACCGAGTCAAAAAGCTTCTGCTTGAAGTGTTAGAGATGCATGAGATGAAGAAAAGGGCAGTCAAAGTGAGAAGACAAAAATAGATATTTTAGTATCTATGGGGACAATATGGGGACAATCTTTTTAGTAGAGACAGCAGTGACAGCACGAGGGGTAATGGTTTTAAACTAAAACAGGGTAGATTTAGGCTGGATAGAAGGAAGAAATTCTTTACAGTGAGGGTGGTGAAACACTGGAATGGGTTGCCCAGAGAGGCAGTGGAGGCCCCATCCCTGGAAACATTCAAGACCAGGTTGGACAGGGCTCTGAGCACCCTGATCTCGTTAGTGGTGTCCCTGCTCGCTGCGGGGGGGTTGGACTAGATGACCTCCAGGGGTCCCTTCCGACCCAAAACTTTCTAGGATTCTAATATTTCTTGGTATGCTAAAAAGCCTAGTGTACCATGAGTAACATTTTCTTATTGATGCCCTCAGCAGAGTCTAAACAGGTCCTCATTACACATGGCTGTGGTACGAAGTGGTTCTTTATTCTTATGGTCTTTGGGGAAGCCAGCTTCTGCAATCGGCTGGGCAAGGCTCGGTTCAGAGCCTGGACCACGAGGTCCAGATAATGATGAATTTTGGAACTATTTAGTTAAGCTATTCAAGCTAAAACTTAGTATATCATACTGCTGCGTAGCTGTCAGGCTTTGCAGTCAAGGAAGGGCCAGCAGCTAAAACAGATGGACGAGTTCTGAAGTGTTCATGGTGGGGTCAAAGCATGTCTGTGTGTTTGTAGGTGTGTTAAGAGCGAATACATAAATCAGTTGGCCTCGGAGTAGGGATGCTGTGGCTGAGCTGGCCATGAGTTCCAGCAGGGCGGTTCCAGCCCCCTCGTAGTCAGCGGTGCTTTGTAACGCTCCCTGCAACAGTAAATGCTGAACGTGTTTGTAAAGTGTGCTCGCTGCATTGCTTTGGTGAAACCAGAAGGAAGCACTGGCTGTAAACTGAAAACGGAAAAAACAGACTGTGGTGTTGGAGGGGACGTACCACCCGTTTTCTTTTAACTGGAAGATGTAGCTACTCTGAAAACACAACTGTTAGACAGAGAGCAACTCTTTGACGACGGCAGAACTGTCGGTATTCGCCCTTATCCTCACCAGGGAGGTTTAGTGGGCCAGCAGAAGTTGCTGTACGGATTTTAGTGCCCTGGTCAGAGCTGGGAATTGGAAACTGAACTTGCTGGAGAGCTCTGCAGTCTCAAGCATTGCTGGGTCGTAGGTAAGGTCGTTCAGTTGTAACTTCTGGGGAAGCTGCTGAGTGTTGGCAGCATCAGCGCGCTGCCATGAAGATGTGATAAAGCCTGTTCTCTTTATCTGACGGACCCACTCGTCTTGGGCTTTTGCTTTGTTTTCTTGCAACACCCATTTTCAGGTCTCTGAGTTTTCTTGCTGTGGAACATGGCGGCACAAGAGGCCAGTACATGGGAATTCATAAATCTCAATTTGGCCTTTCAGTAAGGCAAGAGACTCCAGTATCTGCAGGTTACTCGTACCTGCCAGGCTTTTCCAGCAGATGCTCATGATAGACCAGCAGGAACTGTAGATGTTTTGTTCTTTTCCAAACTATCGGGCACAAATAACAGCCAGATCAGCTTTTATTTTTACAGACACAATACCAGTAGTACTTACCTTCTTGCAGAGCTTTTTATCAGTAGTTTTCAAAGTAGTTTAGAAAGGTGTCATCATTCCTTTGTCATGATGGATAAAAAAACAGAGCGGATCCATACTGCTTTTAAAATATAAAATATAAAAGATTTTAAAATACCAGAACAAAGGGGAAAATACATAAAATGGACCTTGATCAGAACCTGGAGGCATGCCAGTTTAATCCGGTGCGACTGGTTGTAGAGTGAGCATTGATTTGTCAGCAGGAGCGTGCCACATAACCACACTTAACCTTTATTTTTGTCTGCAAGATTGAATTCAATTAGGAGGTTGGAGGCCGAAGAAATAGATTTTCTGCATCACGTGACCCAGCTGGATCTCAGAGACAACAAACTGGGGGAGCTGGACGCCACGGTTTTTAACAACGTTGAAGTGTTGCACTGCGAGCGGAACCAGCTGGTGACCCTCAAAATCAGCGGGTATTTCCTCAAAGCCCTGTACGCCGCCTCGAATGGTGAGTGCTTTTTCAGGGCAGCTGCGGTGGTGGCACCTGGCTGCTGGCTTCGTACCCGGCTCCCTGTGGGATGCTTGCGGGGTGCGGTGCGCGTGGTCCAGAGGAACCGGCAGGCTCTTGGTGGGACCCTGGGATAAAAGGGTTTCACACGTGCTGTGCCGTGCTACTGGCAGCCCTGAGCTTCAGAAGTGACTTCCAGATAACACTGATTTGGAGGTCTCAAAACTGTGAAGATCTTACAATTTGGGATGAAATTCCTCCCTGTGTCAGCAGGGTGGGATCTTGAAGGTGTCAGTTCTTGGGGTTGTATTAATGTGGTGCTTTACTAAAGTGCTAGTGATGACACCCACAAAAATAGGGTCCCGCCTGGACAAGGTCCTGTGCAGCCTGCTCTGGGTGACCCTGCTTTGGCAGGGGGTTGGACTGGGGGACCCACAGAGGTCCCCTCCAACCCCTACCATTCTGTGATTCTGTGATTTACTAAGGTAAATAAGGCATTTATTGCTTCTCCCCAGAGCTGAGAGAGGTTGAACAAGTGGCCATTTGAGACAAACTAAAATAATACATATTTTTGCTACTACCTCTAGCTGCTTGCTCTGGCCAGAAGGCTGTGAAATCTGTAATGAGTAACTTCATTTGTATTTGATAACAAAAATAATGCACCTTTTCCAGCTGAGTAACTCCTGTGTTCCATGAATAGGATTTGTTTGATCTGGTAGCTGCTATTACTTAAAATACTCAGTTTCCACCACCACTTTTATTGTTTGGAGTAGTTTGGTATAGAAAAAACAAAATGCAAGCTCAGAGCGCTGTGAATTTGCTGAACAGTCTGACCTGCCTTTAAAAGGCTGTCACCTTAACGATATCCGAGCCCGTGCCTTCATGAAGTATTCATGCCAGGATCTTCGTAGCTGAGAGAAGTGAACACAATCTGAGCACGTGCCGTGCAATGTGAGCTGAGAACCCAAGTCAACCCGTATCTGGCAATCAGCTGCCTGTTGGGTCTTGCTGTTCCTCCTGGCTACGCTCCCTTTGCACCCTCAGCCACCTTGTTTTAGTCTCACCTTCCAAAGGAGCCGTGATGCTTGTTGCGCTTCCACTTCGGTGGATTTTCTGTAGGCTTTAGGAAATGTCTGCTGGTTTTTGTCTGAACCTTAATGTGAAGCACTAGCTATGTAAAAAGCTTAGGATATGAAATATTGTTGAAGCAGTCGAAATATAACATTACTAGCAGTAGTTGAGATGCTGTGAAAGGTCTGTAAGGCTGCCTGCAGCCAGGAACCTCCACGGGGATGCAAAAGCTCATGTGATGTGTGGAAAAATGCTCTGGGTCTTGCCATGACACAGGGAACTCTGGGGCATTTGGTAGCTTGCTGTTCCAGAGTGGGGAGTCTCCCTTCCCGTGCTGCTACCGTTAGTGACCAGTGAAAGCAAGCAGAACGGGTTTGTGACTGACTTGTGGGCAGAGGGTGGTGGGGGTGAAGTTACAGCTCTGGGACAAAAATGGAAAAAGGAGAATTTGCCATGAAACTTCTAAAGTCCTCCAGTTTCTCCTCTCTGCTCAGTTATGCAGTGTCTGTCATAGCAATGTAATATAGCAAATGTACTCAGACATCATAAACAAAATTCAGTTCACAGAGGTCCAGATAGATGCTCAGAAGTTTTTACTGACTTGTTCTGAAATCTCTGGGTGTTGGCTGCTTAAAGTCACTCTTACGGAACAGCCGTTTAGGTACAAATATTTATCACTGCTTTTGTTTTTATGTATTTTTTCCCCCTAGAACTTGTTCATCTTGATGTGTATCCAGTTCCTAATTGCCTGGCTTATATGGATATTTCTAGGTAAGAGTATGTTTTTTTTTTTATTGGGCCTGTAAAATATACATCAGAGAGGCTAATGGAAAAAATGACATTCACTGGTATTTTAGTGGGGAGGAGTAGGGGCAGGAATTGGACCTTGAGATATAAGAAGACCAATTTTCAGAGATAGAGGATGGGCTTTTTTCTACTGGCCAGTTCTTCCCTGTTTCCTTTTTACAGATTTACTTTTTCTATTTTTTTTTTAGTGCTAAAAGCAACATGTGCCTTTATAGTTAAAGAGTTTCCCTGATTTAAAGATTTCCTATCTTCTAGAGATACAGCACGATGATTCCAATGTGCACCCATGAGACATGTGCAGAAGTTCCTTTCTGGTCACAAGCCCAGCGTAGGTGATGGGTTGGTAGTTTGCTCGTCAGTTCGGCAGCTCCTGCCAGCCCAGCGTTGTTCTCCACGGCCCTGGCTGCTGCAGGGATGTCTGCGGTTGCCATCTGAATATATCCATAAATCTCACCTTAGCGAAGGAGGTGGGATAAGGAAAGAAGTGGAAAAGGGGGTGTTTTAGTCTGCTTTGCAATTTAAGGACTGAATCAGGAAAAAACTTGATACATGTGCTTATGTCTGTCTTATTTAAGGAATTACTCATCTGCATATTGAAGTGATAATCTCATTCATTAAAAAGCCTGCTTAAAGCACTCTTAAGATAAGAGTGATCGTAACAATTAATGGGTTAACCCGGGCGAGTGGCCATCAACTTCAAAGTTTCGGAAGCCATGAGTTACTCCCGTTGTGCACCTGAATGTAACACGCAGGTGTGGCTAAACAGGAGTGGCTTGGATCAGGAATGGGGTGGCCAGCAGGAGCGGGGAGGGGATCGTCCCCCTGTACTCGGCACTGGTGAGGCCACATCTTGAACACTGTGTTCAGTTTTGGGCCCCTCCCTGCAAGAAGGACATTGAATGGCACAAACTGAAGCAGAGGAAGTTCCGTCTGAACCCGAGGAAGAACTTCTTCCCTCTGAGGGTGACGGAGCCCTGGCCCAGGCTGCCCAGGGAGGTTGTGGAGTCCCCCACTCTGGAGATATTCAAGACCCTCCTGGACAAGGTCCTCTACAACCTGCTGTAGGTGACCCTGCTTGGGCAGGGGGTTGGACTAGATGACCCACAGAGGGCCCTTCCAACCCCTACCATTCTGTGATTCTGTGATTCTGAGTGGGTGGAGCGTGTCCAGAGAAGGGCAGCGAGGCTGGTGAAGGTTCTGGAGAACAAGTCTTATGAGGGACCAGCTGAGGGAACTGGGGCTGTTGAGTCTGGAGAAGAGGAGGCTGAGGGGGGACCGTATCTCTCTCTACAGATACCTGAAAGGCGGTTGTAGTGAGGTGGGTGTTGGTCTCTTCTCCCAAGTAGCTAGCGATAGGACAAGAGACAACGGCCTCAAGTTGCATCAGTGGGGGTTTAGATTGCATGGCTGCCCAGGGAGGGGGTGGTGGAGTCCCCATCCCTGGAGGAGTTCAAAAAAACATGTAAATATGGCACTTCGGGACAGGGTTTAGCAGGCATGGTGGTGTTGGGCGGATGGTTGGACTTGATCTTAGAGGTCTTTTCCAAGCTATGATCCTATGAAAAGCATTGTTTGTAAAGCTGTGTTCATTTACATTTAGCTGTAAATGAAATTGGTGCGTGATTTTGACCACAAAACTGGTTTTGTGCCTTGGTTCAGTGGTGGCATTGTAACTAAACAGGTAGGGTGTCTAGCTTCTTAGCTCGCTTGGAATTTGGGAAATCTGTTTGAGATGGAAAAGGAAGCTGGCTGAGGATAAGCAGGGTTGGGTCACTATCGGATATTTTGATTGAAGGTTATTTCATGAACGGACTGTGGGGTACAGGTCCATGAATGAGCATGAACATCGATCATGCTGTGTAGAGGTCCTACTCCTGAACTTCAGGTCTGCAAGTGCCTGAGTATGACTTGATGCCCAGTTTTGCATCTGTGTGTGCTAACTGAAGCGGTGGTTATGGGAATGCACCTGCACATGACCTCCTCCGTGCGTTTTGTGCTGCTAATTTTTGTCTTGAAGGCAGGATGCAGGGGTGCCACACTGTGCCTAGCTGCATGTTTTCGGTGCAATATTTGGCAAAACTTACCTCTAGGAACTTAATTTTTAGCAGGGTTAGTTTCTGTGGAGGCAACTGCAAGAAAAGCCAAACACATGGCTTTAAAGGTGCACAAAAAAAAAAAGATTTTGCTCTATTCAGTGAGATAAAGAGTGGTAGAGTGGGTTTCAGGGTTGAATTTAAGGGGGATCAAAGGGGTGTGTTTCAACAGTGTAGGGTGTGAATATCTTCTGAGGAGTATCTCACCAACTTTCTTTTCCATGGAGAGGCTTCTTCGTCCTCGATACTCTGATACTCTTAATGCTTCTTCCCCGATAATTTGGAAGCAGCTTTTTCCATTTTCTCAGTGGCTCCATGTCTAGGGAGATAATAATGCTGTAGGCTTTCCTGCCCGCTGGCTCGCGACCTTCCTGCACTGGTGTGCCCCTAGGGAAGGAGGGGTGATACCATCTCATAGAAGACATGTATTATGTAGCAGATTTATTTCCTGCAGGTATCTGTATCTCTCTTGAGACTGTATTCTTCTTTACATCTCAATTATCGTTTCGTTACACCTCTTTGTGCTCTTTATTCTTAGAAATCACCTGGAAAACCTGCCTGAGTGGGTGTGTGACAGCAGGAAACTGGAAGTGTTGGATGTTGGCCACAATCGGATACGTGAGCTGCCTGCCCGGTGAGTCTTGTAGACCACTTGCACAGTGTGGAGCAGGATAAGCAATCGAGAAATAATTGCTGATTCAGTGTTTAGCTTGTTCCAGCGACTGTCAGGCCCGTTTTATCTTTTGTTTGATTTTATTTTTACCTTGTGGGATGTAGTCATGCCTCGAGCTTCCACCCAGCCTTTTTTCTTGTACCTGCATGCAGAGAAAGCAATGCCTTTGAACTCCAGGTGGAAGTTTTGAAGCTGTTCATGTGGCTGTTCAGGCAGGAAAGCCCTTCATTTTTAACATTGAATATTAAACATTTACAGCCATAACTTTGCATGACAGTTCAGAGATCCAGAACACTGTAACTTGGTTTCAGTGGTGCCTTGAGACTCCAGCGTGCAGCCCTGTTTGAGTGAAAAAGAGTGGAGAGGAGAAGGTAGAGCCTCAGCAAGCAAGCAAGCTTGCTCCTACAAGTAGAGCAGTCGCCTTCACTGCAAAGATGATCTCTTTTCCAGGAGTCTAAACTTAAAAATGATAAGTACAAATGATAGGAAAGCAAGTGAACAGGAAGGAAAATAGGAGTTGAGTTTAAATAATGAATGGCTCTTATTATTTATTTTTTTTTCCTAAAGAGAACTATTCCAGGTGAGTATACTGGTCAGGTGTTGATATTGAGAATTTTTACGTCCGTGACTTCACTGGGAGAGAGCTGTCATTCCTGGCTGCTCTGTAGGCTTCAAAAGAAATGTTGTAAAAGAGAGAGAACATACTAGGCACAAAGGTGAAATTGCGTGGGGATGTGCAGAGCCATTGAAGATTGTAGACAGCTAGTGTATGATGAGCGATGAAATATTTTCCTTACGGAGCTGCACAGCACGGAAGAGCATCAGGAACCAAAAAAGGTAGTTTTGCCCGGGTCAGATGAATGTGCCATATGGTGTAAACTGGCAGTTTCAGTGTCAGAAATGGGAGGAGAATAGATTTCAGAAATGTGGGCAGGCAGAGATGTGAGGAGATGTACCAAGCAAACTAATGGGCTAACATGCAGACTATGAATCCCTCTGGTTTTTCACACAAAGTGAAACTGCGCCTACTCAGAAGGTGGGGGGAGCAAAAGTTCATTTGCCTTTCATTTGCACTTCATAACAGCAGGGACTATCAAGGCAGGCCGGATATCTTTGGGAGATTAATGATTAGCTGAAATTAGGTACAGTCAACATCCCACTTGTCTCTCCTGCCATCTTCTCATTAACCCCAGGAAACAGCTTATCTGTGAAAGCTGCTCTTTGTAGTATGTGTCTAGATAGCTTAGCTCCTCATAAGTCAGCTCAGTTTTAAGGACCGGGTCAAAACACGGGCTTTGAACTTCTGTTAAACTTTAGGGAAATTTGTGTCTGGATTCAAATGCAGATGGCTCAGACTAGCACTCAGTAAGTGTGTTTACGTGCACTGCTGTGTGCTTTTCCTCCTACGTAGAACAGCACTCTGAGAACCTGTGGGGTGAGGGAGCAGGACTCTCCTAGGAGGGTGCTTGCAACTCTACCCACAGATGTTCCAGCCTTGACTGACCAGAGGTGTCCTGGAAGGCTGAAGGTTGCACCTAGTCTAAACAAACTACAGTTGATGCTATGTGCATTTGCCTCTTGGAACAGAAAAACAATCCTTGAAGACAAAGAGTTGAAGCAGTTGAGATAGAGGACTGTGTGCTAATGTTTGTCTCAATTAAGGAAAATGGGAACAATGTACACTGGGCTGTAATGCAGCCATTTCTGCTTCAAAAGTACTGACAAATATCAAAAAGGGTACTTAGTCTTAGCAATGCAGAGCAAGTTCATTGTCATAAAACTGACGTTGCCAAAGATTCCCCAAAGAAAATGGAAATGTTTCAATAAAGAGTTGCCAAAATGGCTTTGCCACCACCAGTGAACATGTCTGTATACATTTTTGTTTGGTTTTGTCTGTTTTATTAAAAGATGTATTTGTAGTCAACGTTGTGTTCTCTTGAACCGTTGCTTACTAAAGGAATTGGTTGAAGGCTTTCACCAAACCATGTTTTCTCAGAAGATGCTGATGCTGAGTGACGTGCTTGCCCTTAGAACTTTTTGATCCCATTGAAACTGCCAGTGGAAGTTGGGCAAGTGGGAAAGCTGCCCGTGGGGAAGAGCAGGGAAGAGAGGGTTCCCCACACAGCTTGAGAATTTGGGGTCCCAGGCTCGCCAGGAGTTTCACTTGCTTAGTGAAATGCTGGTAGCTCAGTCTCTCTGCAGGCAGCCTGGTTCCTTTGGTGCTTGTGCAACTTGGAAAATAAAAGAAAACAAAACAAAAAAACCCTCAGAAGACTTAGTTCTTCTGAATTATTTATAAAATATATTTTAATGGAAAAGCTCATTGCTAAGTTTTTTTGCCATGATTTGAACTCTTTTTTAATTTTAAAATGGCACTGCCCCTGCCCATCCAAAAAAACCCCCAAAGTGATACTTTTTTTTTTTTGAGTTGTTGTCAACCAATTCTGCTTTTCCTTGTAGCGTTTGGTGTCGATGATACCAACCAGTTTTGATTAGGAAAGGAAATAGAATAGAAAGGCAAATCCATAATTGAGATAGATTTTTCCAGTAAATGTGGAGTGAAAAATGGCTAAATGATGAAACCGTAATAGATAGTTTATCGCTGTATGGTAAGTGTTTTCACCCCGTGTTGAGCCTTCTGGAACGATAACGGCGGGCTGTTGACTTGTGTCCATGGTCATAGCGCAGACGATCTGGCCAGCTGAGATAACTGTTAATGCTGGCACGGAGAGCCGGAGTATGACTGTATCTGTCAAGGGGAAAATGCTCAGCATACTTCACTGGTTGTTTTGGCACAATAATCCGATGACCTGATGCGTTGTAGGCAAGGGGCAGGGAGGCTCTTCACGTGTATTTGGGTTATTGTAACAGAGGGAAGAAGATTCTGGCTTTAATGCTGAGTAATTTGAGAGTCTTCGATTGAAACAGGTCAGTGTGATGCGCAGGCTCGCCAGATTAAACAGTGCGGTAGCGGGAATGTGAGACGGGTGGCAGATGAAGAATCATCTTTCTTCTTGATTTGCTCAAAGTGATTCTTGTTCAAAATAGAGAGTTGCTCCATTTTTAAGGTCTTTGGGTGCAGATTACTCCTCATTACATCGTTTATACTGCAAATTTTAGCTTTACTGTTTGATTAAACAGTCATTTGTTCTTGTCTCTCTACGTTTCTCACTTCTCCTCCAGCCCCTCCAAAAAATGGAGCGGGGGGATGGGACTCCAGGTCATCTACCGCTTGTGAAAGCTCAAGAAAGTAAAGCCGATTAGATAAATTTCATTCGCTGTAGAACTGGAAAGGAGGCTTTGTGTTAGCCTGGTATTAACAGAAAAGGAAAATGGGGGGTGGGGATTGCATCGGGTTGTGAGTCAGCAAACGATGAAGAGAGCACTACGAAGCTCGTGGGGCGGCTGGTGATTTCACCCACACTTCTGAAGTTCTGCCATTAGCCAGGGGGATCCCACATGTGCCGTTTTCTGCAGCCGTTGTCAGCAGTTACCTCCTTCACTGTCGTGCTTCTGTGTTCGTGTTCCATACAGTGCAGTAAGATAACCCTTTCTCACTGCTTTCACTCCTGAATCATCCTTAAACCTCCTTCCCCGTCTCTGAACAACCTTTTCAAGAAGTTGGTGGAGAGTGGGAAGACACTCTTGGATCTGTGCGTAATTAATACCGTGTCTGCTAATCAGCTGGCTGAATCACTTTCTTGTAATGAACTGTGATATCGCACCTAAGTTCTCAAAGGAACTCAACAGTTTAGATTTTTCTCATTTTTTGTGTTTTTTTTTCTTCCTCTAAGGTTGTTTTACAATAATAGCTTGCGTAAGCTGCTGGCAGGACATAACCTGTTAGGAAGGCTACCGGATCGGCTCGAGCGAACACAGGTGGAGGTCCTGGACGTGCAACACAACCAGCTCCTTGAACTGCCATCTAACCTGCTTTTGAAAGCAGACAGGTAAATATAAAGACATCTGATCTCGACTCGCTGTGAGGAACCTTGCCTTTCGTGTTCCTTCCTAGCTGAAAGGGTAATCTGAGGTTCCCCTGATTCAAAAGCTGCCAAGCCTCGCGTGGTAAGAACAGATGTCTGCCCAACTTACCAGAACACATTCTTTTTATTCTGGTTTTGTTGCCTTATATGGTTGCTTCTTTTTCCCCACTAAGCTCCTGCCGAACACCTACTTCTTGAAATCTGGCTGTACAGCGAAGCACATGCTATTTTCTGCTACATCCACTGAGATGGGTTAGTGGCAGTTTCTTTAAATACATATTCCTTAGGCTTGTTTGATGGAGTGTGAAAGCTTATTTTTTCCCCCTTCAGTCAGAGGCTAGAACTTATTTATACCTGTCAAACAAAACAAAATCTGTGCATAAGGCTGTCAGAAGAACTCAGATATTCCCCTGTCCTTGCTTTGTGAATATTTTTTTATGCTTTTCAAACGTTTGCGGCTAATTTAGCTGGTGTCACCAGTCAATCTGCTTTCTGGATTGTTATTTTTATGCTGCTGTTGCTTTAGCCTCAGAGTCTTCATAATCTTCCTTCCTGGGTATGAACAGATCCTGCAAAGTGGCTGTGACTGAAACAGGGGAGGTTGGTAGCCTAATCTGGGGCTGGCGGATGGGCTTGCCCCGCGTGGTCTCAGCCTTCCTTGCACCTCGGCGCTTCCACGTGTAGTCGGGGGGATTCGGAGCTCTCAACCCACGCAGAATTTCACAGACAGCGAGATCGTCTGCTGTGGGCTTTGATTGCTGATCCCGGCTGTGACAAAAGGAGCGCAGAGCTCCTGGGCTGCTGGAGAGGTGGAGGAGCAGAAGCAGTGGTGGTCTCGCTGTCGCAGCTCCTCGCCCAGTTAAGAGGATTGCAAAACCCCTACTTTTATACTGCTCATTCTGCTGTGAACCTCTGGTTAAATTTCCTGGGGTTCAGCGTGGAGAGTTGGAGAAGTAGGTTGGTGGTTGAGATGGTTGCTAAATAAACTCTTGACTTAGTCTTTTACAGTAATGTCCTGAGGGTTTTATCGTTTAGGTTAAAAAATGTCTTTTAAAAGGTGAACTTTACTAGGACAGGGATTTGGTTTTGCAAACCAGTATGACATTCAGCCTTGATTTGCTTTAAAGAACCTTTAAAATAATTTTTGTTCTTTGGGTTTTGTTGGTTTGGGTTGGGTTTTCTTTTTTTCAATAACACTATTGCATACCTGCCCACGTTCAAGCCTGTATAGGTATATTCAAGCCTTTGGATATAAATTGATTATCAGCACAGTTATTCTGATGTGAATTTGCTGTTTCAGTTGAAACTTTACGTAGAAGGGCAGTCAAAGCATTGAAACTCAGCGATGTCACTGCCGTAATAATTGTGGTTATCTGGCACATTTCTATTTAAAAGTGGTGACATTCGTAGCCTGTTCGTGGGGCACGGGTATCTCCATCAGCAGCTGTGATTGTCTTGTGGATGACTTTTAAAACTGTGGTACATTAGAGATTGTATGAACTTCAGAAATGAAGCCTTGTAAAAAGGTGTTTTTTAACAGGAAGTTGCGACATTAGGTCAAAAAAAGAAAAGCTATTTACAGGTCCCATGTTGAAATTCCTACTGTTAACTTGGAAAGAAACCTTGAAGTAAGTTTCAGAAAGCTATTAGCATCTTTGAAAGCAAAGAGAGAAATAATTTTGTAAAATTTCTGTTAAAAAATCCAGGTTGTAGGTCTAGGATGTAGACTAGTGCAGTTTTGGCAGTGAGAGAGAACCTGAATTTTTTGTGCTGAAACTCACCTTTTTAAACCGAGCTACAAAACTGTAGACAGCTTTTTTTTTTTGGTGATGCCAAAATGAATAAGAATGAGCTAAAACTAGGATTGGGGATAGATTTCCACAAGTTGGCTAAGAGAAGTTAGCAAGCTACTGGGGATAGATTTCCACAAGTTTGCTTCTGAGTTGTGCTGAGAAGAGGTAGAATTTAAAAATATATTGAATAACAGCATTAAATGGTTAGTTCAGGCTTGGAGATTTTTCCCCCTCCATGGCTTTGATGTTCTGCAGCTTCTGAGCAGTACGGGGCCCGAGTTTCGTACGGGTGTTCCCAAAGCCGTGTGCCGTCGCAGGAGGCCAGCAGAGCTGACCCGTTCCGGCGTCTCATCGCCGCGGCAGCCTTCCTCGCTGGTGAGGATGATGAAGCGGTTGGCTTGGGTGGGGTTTTCCCCCTCGTTGCCTACCCCTTTGCTGGCTGAGATGGCTTGGCTTGTCCACGCTGGTGCTCCTGTGAGTGCTGCAAAAGGGAGAACTGTGAAGGAAAACGGCAGTAGAGTTTTAGGGTTAGAATTTCCTACAGGGAACACCTTTCTCTTGATTTTATTTTTTTTGGAAAGGTGCTCAGGTCTGTGCAGCTGACAGATGATAGCTTGTCTGGAGGTGAAGTCTCATGCTGTGAATTAGAAACGCTTTCTCCTGCTCGATCCGGAGTATTTGACAAAGTGGGTGTGAAGTGCCCTGGGCAAACTTCAGCACAAGCACTGGTGGGCTTGGGCATCTAGAACATCTGAGGAAGGGAGGGAAATCAGTGCATTGGTGCGCGAAGAGAGAACATCACTTTCACTAAAAATACTCAAAAAATACTGAAAAAAGCTCTGTTCTCTGCATAGAAGAATCAACGAGCATCGCTTTTCTGCCTTAATCCTTCACAGAGCAATGAAAAGGTGTCGTTCTGTGCGGAAGAGTGTAATTCAAGGGTATTTTGTTGGTCTGCTTTTTAATTAGTTTTCTATTTTAAACTGTGACTCGAAGAGAAATTGCAGACTAGCCTATGAAACATTTCTCTGACCAAGGCAGAACTTGGTTCTGTTCACTGCACTGAAAGTATGCGCATCTTGATCGTGTTAGCAAGGATTTCTCTTGTAGGGTGGGGATTTTCTTGGCAAGATGAGTGCCAAAGAGGCAGCCAGATAATCTCTTCATTTGTCGTTACCAGATGCTGCAGAAACAGAGAATTCATGCAAGTGCTGCAGCTGATGGGGGAAAACTCCCAGCCTGAGTCCTGAACTGGTTTTCGTGC